TGGGAATAAATGAAGATCGCTTATTCTTAATTAAAGACGAAGATACATTTTAAGTTTAGTGTCATGATAATTTTTAGTACTATTCTTCAGTTAAAAATAAATTTGTCTTAATATTTTGTATAATAAAAGCTAGTATGTTTTATCATGATAATTTTTCAATTAAAAATAATATTAAAAACACTAATATTATTGTACATAAATTTTGTTCAAAAATAAAAAAAAGCAAATAACCCTATGTTGTGATCATGATAGTTAATCTTCAACATTGTTGTCATTAAGCTTAATTTGAAGTTTATTTTTGTTGCCGACACTCAAATACTATAATGCTTTATACCTGTTTTAAATCGCATCTTTATTTAATTTTTGTATAAAAGAAACTTTGCTAGTTGATAATTGATATTCTGTTTGATGATTTTTTTTACAAAATAGTTCTTTTAAAAATTGTTGACTTTGTATAATGTGGACATTAATCAATAATTGATCATCCTTTCACTTATAGGATTATATTTTGCCTATACTTAAATAGAAGAAGATCACAGAAACTAGAATGATAAACTATGGATACAAAATCTAATTAACATATATAATTCGTCCTTGTTATTAAATATATAAAAAGAAACACAAATACACGCTCAAAAGATCATGGAAAAAAATTGTGTAATTAATGGTGTTTATATGGATAATTAATCACTACGTTATAAATCTGTATTTGTATTATTGATTTTAACAATATTTTTTACCATACTTTATTTGAACATGTGACATCATCATTATTTAACACTTATTTTATCTTTTAAAATAAATTATCAATTTATTTATTTATTTATTTTTCTCAACCTGCTTATTTATTTCAATTAACTATTTATATTTCTCTTATGCTTTTAAATATTTTTAAATGTACTTTTAAAACTTTAATTTAATAATATGCAATACGCAAAATATGTAGTAATTGCTGAATTACATAGGACATTCTTTTTAGATTATCAGGATCTAATGTGATTTACAGATATTAAAAATCTCATGAGAGAGAGAGAGAGAGAGAGAATATGTCATGTTGCTGGCATACTATAAATATTGAGAGTATATATATATTGATTATTGAGTCTAAAAAGTAGTTACTAATTAATTTAATATAATGTAAATAGGAAAGTTAAAGCAATCTTTAATGAAATAGCTCATTAACTTATTATATAAAATTATGCAAATGCTTATGGGCCCGATGGGATAATATATGAAGGCAAAATTCATAAAAAGGTTCGTAACTTTTAGAACTTGTGTTTAAAATTCCATTACGAACCCAATTCCAATTTGTGTATCTTCCTTTACTTCTACACCAGCCACTGAGAACCAGGAGTTAACAAAACAATGGGAAGACTCAAATGCTGTTTCAATATTTTAAAAGGCACTTTATTCTGTTTGATCCCTGTTGAATGGAGTACTGCCTAAAGCAATTATCTTTCACAACTTCTCCAGCAATTGTGGTAATACACTTATCATGTAATCTAATACATTTCTATCATCGTGATTCTTCAAAAAAAGTTATTTATTAATTTTTTTTATCCAGTATTTTAAAGAAACTCATTAGTAAAATCCTGGAAAATATGCGTAATTTTTTTAACCACCAATATTTGGATCCTAAATTGAGCATTTCACCACTCTGAATCGAGATATGCAAGACTTATGAATAATTAATTTTTATTTTTAAAATTTTAATACAATCACATTTTTAGAAAATTAATTATGATATTTTAGTTAAATTAACCCAACCTCTATGCAAATGGTATAAAATGCATAGTTTATTAATTAATTCGGACTAAAACAGCACATAATACCAATGTTTCAGTTTGTCTTGCAACATTGAGCAATGCTATATGAGCCAATAAATTCCTCTCCTTTTAACTCATGAAAAATGTTAACATTGAACTTTAAAATTGAATTAAAACACTTAAAAATAGTAAACTTTTATTGACAAATAAAATATTTATCTAAATATATTTTTATATAAAAAACTTACTATTTTTATATCTTTAAACACCAACTCTAAAGATTAAAATTAACAAACTTCTTATGTTCTAAAGATGCATTTGAACAATAACTTTATTAAATATTTACTTGATAATTTTTTATTGCGTAAAGAGTTTATATTTGACTATAAAATTTATTAATATAAACTAAAACTAATAAAAGTCTATATATTATGCATCACACTCCATAATACCCCGCACACCACAGAAGCAAAACCAACACCATCCTTACGAACACCATTAATATACTTGACAGTAAACCGATAGAGCAACGAAGGGTTCTGCAGAATTGAACCATGATGATTAATTACAACAAAATCACCATCCTCATCTTGACACAAAATGCAATTGATCGTTATTCATTCTATGATTAAAAGAAAAGTTCTAAGTGGTGAAAATGTATTAAATCACCGCATGTGTGGATGATGCATAAACCATTTTACCTTTTGCTCATTACTTATGTTAAGTACTAACTAACTCTTTTTTTAAAATCTAATCAACGCTTGGATGGTTAATGGATAAGTACGGGTTATATCAGCTTTGGAGGTAGGGAAGAAGTGAATCCAAACAAGCACTATCTTAAGCGCCGAAAAATGCTTGTAATAGATGAGATTTTATTTTTATTTTTTATTTTCATTTGCAGTGAGATTATTTAATTATAAATTAATTTTAATCTAGTGTTTATACAGAAAAATTATATTTATTATAAGAATGTGAATACTATGATATGTTTGTTTTAATTTTTTTATGACTTCTTTTGTTCCGAAAACATACTTCTTTTATGGTAAAGTTTTTTGGTTTTTTATGGACATCTTTTGGGTCAACTAAAAACTTACTTCAAATTACTAAAACAATATTTATGAAGCCTCAAAGCAGGGAATATGGGCTCGTCCATGTGCAGAGACAAGTGCTTTTAGCATTGGGCTTTCAAATCAACGTCGATCTTTGTGTTGTTGCCATGTCCAAAGCTTCCCCCTTGTCGGCATGTTTCGTTTGTGTACCTTTCAGTCAGCCCTTTCTATATAGCAAAAGAACAGGTCGGAAAAGTGACAACAGTGAATATGAAATGTTTGATTTAACCCACATCTCAGTGCTCTTCATCTACTGCACACTTTGGATTTTCCAATGCTGTTTTTATGACTTATGGACACTTGAAAGAGCTTATACAAAACTTACATAAAGTGCTTATAACCCTTTTTATAAGCTTTTTAACTTATTTTAATAAAATTTTCAATGCAGCTCATTATACTAAGCTTTTTTTCAAGTTATTCTAAGAAGTTTTATAATCAATTTTATTGTATAAACACTCGTGTAAAAACAATTTGTTGAATAAATACTAAATTAAATTGTTTTTAAATGCACCCTTAATATGTATTTTTAGCTTAACTTATTTTTCAAAAAATATTGATTTATGTCTCTGACTTTAATCTTTCCCAAACAAGTTTTTACTACTAAAGTCATGTTAACTATGAATCTTTGGCTAATATCAATAATAGTAATTATATATTTAAACCTATGTCAAATACACTTTATTAGCTTAGCGGGGATAGCTCTTAACGAGTAAATGTGAGAAAACGAAAAAGTAGAAGACAGAGCCACTGAATTATCTGTAATCTATATTCTGATTTATAAATAAATTTCATGTCAACTCATACAATTAATGGATTGTTTGTTCAAGTGGTGCAAGCTTAATTTCTTTTAAGTGAAGTATTGAGTTTGAATTTTGTGTATTTTTTTTGTTGTTGGGAGAGTTAATTCTACTATATTATGAATTCTAACTCAATTTTTTTTAATAAAAGATGTCTACGATCAGACTAGAAAAACTCATAGTGACCGATTTATATATAAAGCAGTGTCGCATATGCATCAATATCGAAAGCTTCTATTTTCATGGCAGTAATTAACATTTCAATTTGCTGATGATATTTAAATTTTGCCATAATCGTCTAGATGTAATATTGACCTTATCCTTGTTTCCGCAAGTTTATTACGCAGAAGTAAATTTTTGGATTCGTCATTGGCGTATAGTGTCACTTCTTATCTTGGCAATGCTATAACACCAAATACGTAGAAAATATATTATATGATTGTGTACGTATGGCTACAAATTTCCAATCGCAAATAATTGCTGAATAACGAGCTCGCTTAAATTGAAACGTCGTTTCCCTGTAGTTGGATTTTTTCAATTGAACGTATAATTAGACCATGTACCGTCTCATCGCACTGAAGAATTGCACTGCTCAGCTCAGTTGAAGACTAATTTGTAGAACAGTTTTGAATTCATTTTTGGTAGGCCTTTCCATCCTTTTTTAATACAACAAAAGCTTTATTGGTAGGGTTTATTGAAGTTATCATTTTGCACAAGAAAATTTCTTACTACTCATACTTTTGACGTTGTGAAGATTATCACCCTCAGAATTTCAAGTTTTCCTATCACCTGAGTCAAACATAACTTATTTGCAACTATGTTCAACTTATGTAATAGTACTTATACAACCTAGGATCCATAAATTTGCAACAAACTCTTTAGGTAAGACTACCACAAGTTAAATAGAAATATATACGTTGTTATAGAGTTTTGGCATGCAAATATATATCTCAAGACAAGGGAATGTTACACTAACCTTGCTTCAACTAAAGCCTACAGTGCAGATTAAACACGAATGTTGCAAAGTAGGAAAATTTCTACTCTTCAACCTGTGTAAAAGGCCCTTGGGCAAAATTTTCTACAATGAAGATTGACATAGAATAAATATTCTTTACAATGCCAAATCTGACATCTATAAAACCTAATACTTTTAAGAATTCTAACCTAAGCCTCAAGAACTATAATATCATGGTTCTATCACGGGAAACCTAACCAACCACTATGCATGAACCATGACTAATGTACAAAGTAATGTGAGGTGAGCATGTTGCATTCCATGACTGTTTCAGCCTATCATCCACCAAGGGCGAGGCCAAGCCAGTTCCAGTCTAACAGTAGAACATCACTCTCTTCACATTTTCTTTCAAGGCTGGCAATGGCTTGACAGCACACTCTCCAGCTGCTCGAGTTCCCTTGGAAGTATGAACATTGCCATCACCGGCGGAGCCATTCTCTTGCATATCTGGTTCCATATAGAAACGGGCTCGAAAAGCTGCTAAATGTGCATAATATGCTGGAGGAACTGCACCAGAAGTATTTCCAGCCAATTAAACTTTAAATAATGAAATGGGCCATGTTGTAAAAATATCATAGCTTCTATAACTAGTCTTAAGGGCAAGGACAAGACTTCAAGTGTCATAACTGAGCCAAAAACTGAAAAACTAGATGCATATTAATCGAAACATAGGCTTACCAACAGATACCGATCTTGTACATCTGGCATATGTATAACAAAGATTGTTCGTCAAAGACTGAATTCCATCTGCTGTGAAGTTGTTTTCATCCCATAAGACATGATAATGAGCTGGCCGACTAGTACCCTGCATGAGATCAGCGGTTGAGGAAAATATGAAGGTTTAGAATTTTCCAAGATATTGATAAAGCAGATCTGGAGTTTCACTATGGGTTCATCTTTAATCCCTTCATGTTAAAATTAAATAAGTCTATATCTTAAGAGATACTTGTGTGCTAAACAATAAGATTGATAATTTCAAATCAGGGATATCAATCCTAAATATTCCTTCAAGATCCAGCAAATGATTTTGCATAACATTGAATACTAGACGTATGAAAAGCCAACAAAATATTTATTATTGATACTTTGCTCACTCTCCCTCTAATTTTGACAGTTATCAACTATGAAAATGTGTTTCTTTTTATAATCAATCCTTATTCGTAATCATAATTCGTAAACCATGGTATAAATGGGAGAAAAAAAAATATATCTTGTACCTGGATGCCAGCATGACTGCAAAGATAAAAATCAAATTCTGTTGGATGACAAATTTTAGAATCAACAACAGTCCCTGACAGACAATTTAAACCAAGAGAAATGTAATCTCATTAGATAATCATTTTAAAAGCCAAAGAATGATTCAAAAAATTGCATTTCCGTATATAAGTTTTCAGGAATGTGCAACATACCAGGCAATATATTCCCACTCCTATCCATACTGCTTCTGTCCCTGTAGTTGTTTGCGAATAACCGAGTATGATGTCTTTTTTGCACAACAATAAAAGTTACTGGAGGCTGGTAGTTTGGTTCTAAGGAAGCACATGCCTACACAAATATTGCTTCTCAGAGCATATCTTCATTATAAAAAGAATACAAGGGCATGATGAGAAAGCAAATGATGCTGACCTTCCGAATTGCATCCAACTCATAAAGTAAAACTTGGTAAAATTGCCCTTCACTGACACCATCCCTGTTCAAATTTCATTAATACACCAGTAATTAACACTTTTATCAAACTCTAATGTTTTGGAAGGCCAGGCTCCAAGGTAAGCATGTGAGCTAGGATTTCAATAGAACGTGCCTGAAATATATGGATAAAGGGATAAAGCATTTTAAATGTTTTATGTACTTCATAAGTTATAAAATGACATCGTCACTCAAGTAGAGGTAACAGAGTTTTATGTGAAGTTTTCCATGACCAATGATGCAATCTTGCAATGCTGGCCCAAGGTCATAGATCTTGAAACATCAGGGTGGCGCTCAAATCTTAGACATGCACAATTGCATTGCTATAAAAGTCATTTAGAAGTCAAAATGATAAGCCTGGAGGCTAAAAATTACATTTATAATTTGAAAAATAGAGGGGGAGGGGGGAGATTCCTCCCTAGCTGGCCATTTATTGGAAGCTCACCAACAAATTTCAGGCATATCAATGGTGCTGAGTTTCCTAATCGCATATTCCTTGTAAGGACATGCACAAAGTAGCATGTTTAGCTTAATTCTATTAAAAACAACCAACTCTACTTCAACCTCCTAAATTTTTTGTGTGGAAGTTTATGACATGCATTACAAAACTTTCATCATAAATTAAACATATTGACCTGTAAAATATAATTCGTAGTGGCTTTTGTCCTGTTGCCTTTCTAAAGGAAACCAGTAAATCTCTGCACAAAGAAGGACACGTGAAAATGATAAACTAAGAACTAATACAATTGAATCCCATCAGACAACACAACCTAGAACAACATTTAGAATTAGAATAGTAATTTTGATTTTTATTAGTACCGGATCATGCCACCACTAACTGTGCCACGAATAGGATCATGCCAAGTTTTGTACAAATCTTGTATAAGTTCCTGTCTATGAGCTTGAGCGCACACTAAACCAGCATATTTTGTCACTTCAGGCCAGTCTTGTGATGCTACTACCTACAGATTGGGCAACACATATCAGTTGCAAAAACCCTCAATACTATGTAATGCTATTGAAAAAAAATAAATATAAAAGATTAGATAAATACAGCTGCTATTGAGGGGCTTGAATCTTCTCCATTTTCAGGGTGGGTTACGTCTGCTCCAAAAATTATGGTTGGTATATCACTGACCAATGGTATTCTGCAACTTACAGCATCGAGAAGTACAGTGTTTCTACCTCCCATCTGAATCAAGAGGAGGATAAGTGACCACTATTTAGTTAGAGAGCATTTAAAAACAATTTTGATGTGAATACCAAAAAGTAGGGAAGCCTGCATTGGTTATAGATAAAATAACATGCATGCATACATATAGTGTGCGCCACTGGTTGGGATTTTAAGCCGTGTAATTTTCTAACTAGTATCCACTTATTTATTAAAAACAAATGTGGTTATTCATGCAAAAATGAAGGGAAAATAAGGACAGGAAAATGTCTAATAGAATGATAGTTAACAGATATTCAAAGAGGGCTTTGAAGTCCAAACAATGGTTTAATCAGGAATGTCATTTTGTGATTGAGAGCAAACAAACCTTCACATTGATCTTCAGAGACACATTAGCCAAGTACTGTTTAGTGATTTTAAAGACATGCTTTGTCAGACAGCATTGTGAAATTAAGCCAAGGTCAGTTTCACAAATACGCTTAATATCACCTGAAAACAAAAGATATTTAAATGAAAATTCTGCATTTTAACTCAGAATATATCCTTCTGTTTCAGACAACTTAAGCAAATAGCAATCAGTGCTCAATACCATACCACAACCTTGTAGAATTAGTATCAACCCCTTGTGGCTTACCATAGAGAGATCCATTATTGTCTGGCAATATTGCTAACAATAGCTCCAATTCCTTTCCTTTAGTTTTGTTCGCTGACACGTGGTAAACATGTTTCAAGGCTTTCTCCACCTGCTCAGGCTTGGCATTGTAGATAGGAATAACAGACTCTGGATTAAATTCCTACAAGGAAAACCATGTTCCTAAATATCAGAAAATTTTCTCTCAACACTTTAAACGTGGACATAATAATAAGATAGATTGAAGACTACCATCCCAGATACTTGACACATTTGGGCAAGCTCATTGCAAAAAGTGCGAGCAACACTGTCTTGCACACTCCTTGAAAAATTTATGCATGCCCACCGGCTAACAGTCATTCCATTAATCATTTTCTGTCATTCAAGACAATGATATCAATACTGTGAACTATCACAGGAAATCTCTAGGCCCAAACAAGAATATCAAAAACCTTGGAATTTCATAATTTCAATTAACTTAGGCCAAAGTTAAGTAAAAAAAAGTTCAAGCATATACAGGTTTTTAATAATAATATTAATTTCTTTCTGTGTATGTTTAGAATATGAATAGTAACTGAAAAAAAAGTATGAAATATGCCTAAGATCAACATAACAATTCTCTAACGAAAACTAGATTAAACCCAGGAATTGGCTGACAACAGTTGCACTCCATGAAAGCTGGGGAACAGAAAAAAGTAATCCCAATATGTATTACCTTGTTCATCATATTCCACTGACCAACTTGAGGTAAACAGTTCTTTTCTTTCCCACTTTCATGATATTTAAGCTGCAGTCAGAAGTGCTTTAAATCAATGAATGGTATGGAAAAGGTAAATTAAATTTTCAGTAAATGATGAACCAGATCTTTAGAAGGAGAAGCACATTACCCAAGGGGCGGGAAGAATTCGTGCTTCAACAGAAGCTAGCTTTTCACTGATTTTAATTCCAAATTCCTTTGCATATGGATCTTGATCATAAGCACTATGTTGAATGGTCTGCTTGTATCACCCCCACCACATAAAAATAAAATAAAATAGTTGAATCATTATTATGAAAGGCCAACATTATCGTGTACTTAGAGAATGTACATGTGTGTGTGAATAGACTATAGTTGAATGCACTTTTCCTTCATCTAAACTGTTGTTTCATATGTCATATAAAACCTACATAAGTTTCAAACAATTATCTTAACACTGCAATTACTGCATTGTCAAACACATGATGACTAGAACGTAAGTTTGCCAAGTACTGTTGGAACAAATCATGAAAACAATATTAACTTAATGGCCCTTCATTTCCTAATGGCTAATTGTTCAGCAATCAGATGTCCGTATAATACATACTTAAATGAAGGAATACATTAAATGAAAGGCTTGATTGTTGTGAGGTTCAAAATTAAATACCCGTAAAATATCATTTTCCCGATCACGAGGTCTCTGGCATGTTACTTTCAATAGAGCAGTAATTTGCTTCTCATTCAATCTTTTTGTATAACGTTGCCCCTCAACAATTTTGCAGGCCTGGGGAAACAGAAGCATTTTAGTATAAATAAAATCACTTTGAGAACATTGAGTGGCTAATTCAATTATTAGGAACTTCCCTACCTCCATAGGTAAATAGTTAGCCTTCTTTTGGTTTCCTACTTGAAGGCAAGGAAGGTGAGTGTGTTGGATAGTGAAACCATACATCTCTTGGAAGTATTCAACTACCGATTTCATAGTTGAGTTCTCATCAACAGGAAACCTAATGAAATACCTCTTCATTATTAAGTGAGCTAATGGAAAATCACTATAACATCTTAGATTGTTGATAGACCACAAAAAAAAAAAAAACTTACACAAGTTCTCTTGTTGGTTGAGAAGTCAACCCTGAAACACGATATTTTCTTCGCACACTTCCTCTGTGTGTTACTTCAACTTTAACTCCTCTAAGGGCTTTCTTAATCTGTTAGACATTAAAAAATTAGCTCTGTAAACTGATCAATATTAACAACATAAAAGATGAACCTGGCAATCTCGGTCCATATTACTAAGTACCTTAATGCGATCAGCATCCGATAATGGCCTTGACAGAACATCTTTTCCTAATAGCTGGCCAACAAATTCCACTACTGGAAGAGGCTCAATAAAAGCAGCAGATGCCATATCTATGAAATGCATGAACAGAAAGAAGAAAATTAAAAACTTATTTGTATTTTCATTGGAATACTTATAAAATCAAAGTTAGTAATATACCAATATTGAGGGAAAGGCCCATCTGAGTAGGTCTTATGCTCTGGTAAAATCCACACCAAGACTCCAATCCCTCTCCAAGCCGTTGTGGTGTTCTAATATCAGGTGAAAAGAAGGACCTCCCAATGGGGCAATACCTTTACAATATGCAGCTTTTGTAAGATATATAAGAACTTAAGTTTCATACCTTCACTCAATTTACCACTTCTCAAATTTTAAAAGTTCAAAGTCTCACAACTAATACTACCTCTTAGTTGATAGCTCTCTTAATACAATGTCAAGAATTTGAAGTGCCTCCTGTGGTGCATCAGCACGCTTACCAGCTAGAAACTGGCCCAAGTGATGCAAGTTTGCCCGAGCAACAAATTTGATCACCACCCTGTACTCTCTTTGCCTTCTGAAAAATGACCAAAGTGTTTATTAAAATTGAAAATACTCAAACATATCAAAACTATTCAGTTTTATCTTCTGTCATTTACTTCATTTGATGATCCGGTTACAGCACAAAAGGGAGTTTGTGTTTGTGAGGTGGAGAGAGAGAAGAAAAGAGAAACTTTCAAACGTGAATATGGGCAATAAATCCTTACTTGGGGCCATTAGCTCCATCCTCTTCATCCACAAGCTTAATCTTAAACTCTCTCCAAGCAAAGGGAAGCTGCCCTGCAGTGTACAGACTTTTTCTGCCATCATATGCTGGAAGTCTCATCCCCAAGTCAGACTCTTTATACAACCTCACAAGTTCTGCTATAATGGACCTGTTTACTGTTCTAGAAGACACTTCTGGGGTAATAGTGACCTTCAAAATATAGCATTGCATAATGGCATTAAATTAAAGCAAAAGCAATAATAATAATTGGAACAAAAGCCTCAGGCCAAATTTAAGTGTCATTAATGGCACTACAAGAAAAGGACTGCAAAAGCAGAACCCCTATAAGAGGCAAAAGCACAGGATGAACTTAAATGCATGCTGCCATAGAGGGCCCAATAGTTGTGCACTCAGAAAATCCAATTTAATTGATTTTACCAGTAGAGTGATAAACAACAAGGGAAAAAAAAAATCTTACATCATATTGGTTCAAGTCCTTGTCTGGTAACTCTGCAAAGAAGTGGTTAGCCTTCACAATGCATTTTGTCCCAACTTGTCCACACCCAGGCCTACGCGGAAAACTCAAAGACTTGCTTGAAGTGGGAAAACCCATATCCATGCCAGCAGAGATGCAACCCTTTCCAAGACTTCCATTTGCATTACTTGTTAGTGTTGCAGTGCATGGTCTGCAACTAGGCCTCATCAAAACTTCTTGATCCGATTTTCTGACACCTCGTCCCCTTCTTCTTCCCTTGTTCTTTGGGTGAGGCGAAGTTTGGCCATGATTTTCTTGTGGCGGTGGACCTTTACCGTTTTGTGCAGTTTTGGTTGTTTTCTTAGCTGGATTCATAGGATTCTGCAAATGGGGCTTGATTACAAGGTGTTGCTCTGAGCTCTCTTTCATCTGCCTCACTGGCATGTTGCCTTTGTTGATGAGTGCTACTTATTCTCACTGGAATGTATACAATAAACAGCACACTTTTCAAAAGTGCTAAGCTTCAGCGCAAAAACCAAATTCACAGGAAGACTATTCTCTTATAGCCTTTGCTTGTTATATCTGCCAAACAGTACCAATTGTTTCAGCTAATGCAGAAACAAAGATGGAAAATGCAATCAAGTTGGCAAAATGAGTATCAATTATTGTACATTTATGGGAATGATCAATGGTTTGATTTGATGTATGAAGTCAGAAAAAGAAAAATGGTATGGATGAAACTAAAAACTGGCATTGTTTAACAATACAAGTATTACCATTATTTTGCAAAACTTAAAAGTCCAAAATTTTCACCCTTGTTTCAACAAGTAAATCCAAAAGTGGTTATGGTAGTAGAAGTCCATAGAGCCAAACAAAAATAAATTTTGACAACAACATTTCTGCTCTTTGCTTAAAGTTGAAAAGGCCAGGAGACAAGGAAATCTCAGTGCATACTTGCAGCACAAAACATTTAGCTGCAAACACGAAATATCACAAAGAGCAAAAGACAAAAAAGCAAAAAAAAAAGAAATATTGTTCAGTGAGCAAGCCAATGACCATGAGCAAGAAAAAGAAGAATCAATAATAAAATGTGATTAGACATATGAGAAACTCAGAAAATGGAAATGGCCAGAAGACAAAAGCAGTTCCTTACAGGCTTGTCCCCTACCAAAAACTGAAAATTACAAAGACGACGAACAGATACAGCCACATATGAACACTTTAAATAAAACAACAGAACAATGTATGGATTGTGAAGACAACTTTGAAACCTACACTTTACGGGACTTCAATGAAATTGAGAGAAGAATAAAAAGACACAACCATAAGAAAACAAAAGGCCAAGGACAACATCCTAAGAGAAGGAACAAACATTAGAAGGATAGCAAAATCACTATATGAAACATTTTCAGTAAGAAAAGAAAAAGAGTGCTAAAGCAGCAGAGAAAAATGTTTTAAACCACCCACCAACAAGGCTATTCAGAAAAGTAACAGTGACCATGAAAACGGAGGAACATATATAAAAAGAACACAACTTGAACTCACCCTCTTTCAGAAGGAGGGATTGTGAAGTATGGGTATTAAGTTAGACGTGTAAACAATGAAGAGGGTGTAGAAATAGTAGAGAAGGGTATGTTGGTGCCAGCAGAAGATTCAGAATTTTCAAAGAATATTAAGAAAGAAAGAAAAGGGATGAAGGGGTGAGTAGGGAGAAAGAGCGATGGAGATTATGATTATGATGATCTTATACACGCATGCAAAGCACTTTTGCTTCTTTCTTTATCACGTGTAAAAACCTTTCCCTGCCTCTCTTTGCTTTTTAGTTTAGTTGCCTTCTCTCTCTCCTATCTGCTTCCGCAGCCTCGGGGATTTACCATGCCCATATATGATATATGCAAAACAAAGAAAAAATATATAAAATTTGTAGAGAGAGAGAGAGAGAGAGTAGCGTAGCGGGCAATGAGTCCAAAAGAGTTACTGAGGATAATAAAAGCAATCATATAAGGAAGAAGAATAATTTGAAGTGGCAGTGCTCTTTCTTCACTTGCAGGCTTGGCTTCTTATATTTGTGTGTGTGATTTCTTTTTTACTTCTTTCTTTTTCCTATGAAGAAAAATGTTTTCTCTCCTTCGTTTGGTGAAGTGTCTAGTGTAGTGCTTTGGTAAGGCTTGGTAACGGTCCATTCGGTGGGTTTGCTTTGGCCATGTCTGGGCCCACATTTCTGCTATGACTACTCTGAATGATTCAGTACTTGACGGTCTACCACATTTTGTTGTTGACTAGGGAGGGCCCCAAAAGATCTACACTGATCATGGCTTTTATTCAAAACATATCATGAGATTCATGAACAAAAGGGTGGGATCTTGATCATGATGAATACTTGGGTTGGGTTGGCTTTGGGTAGAGCTAATCATTGGATTGTGAGAGGTGTGAACATTAGATGTGTGATGAATGATGATGGTCTTGGACTGGAATGGGGCTACCAGCTGGGTCCTTTACGAAATCATATCACTGGGGACATGAGTGATGAACTAGGTTTCATCAAAGCCCACTCGATTATAATTTGGAAGGTTGCCCTTTGGAAATTTGGTCTATCCATCATTGCCTTTTGACTCCCACATCCCATGAGATACTGTTCACACTATCCATTAGTAAGAGTGTTACTATCGTCATTTATTTTGTAGAATTAAGGCCTATTCAAGTTCAACTTACTATTATTACAGGTACATTTTAATTTTATGCACTAGTCTTGTAATTTTCCTTCAGAAAAAAAGAAAAATAAATTACACAAACTTTTCATATTTTTCTGTTACGGTTCTATATTTGTGAGAGGATTCTGAGAGGTAGGAGTAAATTACACAGCACAGTAATAGAGGTAAGAATTATCACCCAAACAATTAAGTATTGGCTGCAATATATCTTTTTAAGTTTGTTTAGAATTAAGGAAGTCTAGTGATTGAAACATTCTCATTATATAGACTAAATAAGTTTACCTGTTTGAATTATCTTTCATTGCAATACTCAATATATTATTGCTAAATTAATTTAGTCGAACTCAAACATTAGGGGTAATATTAACAAATTATTAATTTAAAAAATACTGAGAAAATAAAAAATACCCTTCGAAAAAGAAGGATTGTTATTTTTTTAAAAGTGTAAGATAAATGCAAATTTTAATGTATAGGAACTCAGTTTCAGCAACAAAACCATTTGACATATAACGTGTTTATAGTTTAACTTTCATCTATCACTCCTGTCCCGATACATGCTTTGTTAAAAGACGTTTACGAAAGATAAAGGTGTTTGTGAGAGACAGGTGCCAAGATAATAAAGAAGCGTGAGAGAAAGGTAATATATATAGAACAGTTTCATTATACTGTTATTATTAAATAAAAATTAAAGTGTGGCTATTTTTAAATCTTATAAAATTTAAAAAATGAATATTTTTAATAAAATAATAAATAAATTATTATATTAAAAAAATTTAACCGATAAAATTTTAAAATAAAATATAAATATTTAATTAAAATTAACTTAAAAATCAAATGTTGAGTAAAACACAAGGTACTTTATATAATAAAATAATAATAAGTTAAAATTACTCTCATTTTAAAATATTCTTAAAATTATTTGTATTTAAAATTAGAATTCATATTTTATATAGAGAGAATTATTTTTATTAAAAACCTATGTAAATTTAAAATATTTCTGCAGTAAAAAAAACTCACTAATAATGATAAATTTATCACACGATAAAATTATAAAATTTCATCTGTGCATAAAAAATAAGCAAGAGACAGCGGAAAATAGACTATCAAAAAATACCAAAATAATTTTTAATTTACCAAATTGATCCACCATTTTATTAAAAAACCATCAATTGATATTGTAACATTATAAAGTAACTGTTTTCACATGAAGAAATATATTTTAGCAGATAAATATTATAAAAGTATAAATGATAATTACAAACTAATTGAGTAAATTGTAATATTTAAATAATTTATTTTATACATTGATATATATCTAATAATATTATAATAAATATATATTTTATCTTTAAACCACTTTAGAAACTTTAAGATGCTCAGTCATAATTTTTCTAATGTATCCTTATCATCATAAATGTTAAGAATATCAATGATTAAAAAGAAAAACAGGGGTAGAGAGTGAGACTTAGAGCATGTTTGTTTTGATTTTTAAAAAGAGAAAACTATTTTTAAAAATCAAAACAAACACGCTCTTAAAGCCTAGTACAAAAGATTGTATCTTTGACCCCAAACATGTGCAGACAATTTTGTTTGAGGCCGCTGAACCCAACACCAATAGCGCATGGACCACTCACCACAATCCCATATGTATATATAATCGAACCTGAAGGTCGAGGAATTGAAGCTAAACATATACTTATAACTCGGAGAATTTTATAAGAGTTTGTGAGGAGCATACACATATAATGGTCATAGCTATGACCTAGCATAACCAGGGTCTTTTTTTAGATAATTTTGGTTAATTTGGTTGCATGCTCACAAGGTTCCACGACACATTTATTGCACTAAAGATTTGTTTTTCTTAGGAGGCATGGGCATGTTTTGTTCCGGCACGTAGACACATGGTTCTGTAATTTAGTATAGCAGTATATAATATAATATAAATATAACTATTTTTATCACATAAAAGATGTAGTGGATTAAGAAGGACAAGGATGGATGAGGATGTTGGATGATGGGCAAGTGTGGTTCTTTTTTGGGCTTTGGGATTTGTTTTTAATTGGGAACTAAAATAAGTGGGAGTGTTTCACTTGTGGTCGTGGCTGTGGACAAGGAAGGGGCATGTTTGAGATTGACGATGCTTTGTAGTGGTGGAGGTGAGGTGAGGTGAGGTGAGGTGGGAGTTCCCAAGCAAAACAAAGAAGGGGGAAGTGCGTGTGGTGGGGCCCTATCTTCCACAGACATAACACATCCCAATATTGCACATTTTGCACTGTTGCATTGCACCCTATGATTCTCCACCCATTTCAATGTTGTTTTTGCATTCGTAGAAAAGGATGTACTAGTGGTGGCCATTGTGTTGTGTGTACATTCATAGACGACCCACCAAACCCTTCATCTTTCATATAATCAAAAACAATGAACCTAAGTAACCTATGTGCTTTTGATTTTTTAACATTTTCCCCATCACGTGAAAGGCATACCAAGACATTATTGCCCTTCTCGGCAAAGCACTTCCAGCTACTCTTTTACTCCTCATAGAGTGACAATTGATTGTTAAACGTTTGGTATGCTAAAAGGTGACTATAGCAAGCTAAAGGCATCATTTAGTTGGAAATGTCATGGTACAAAACTTTATTCAATAATGCCATATTCATACCCGTAGAATAGAATACATAATGCATGTGTTCTCGTCCTTGCAATGAACATGAACTTTAAAGCAAATATGATTTA